TGTGTGTGTGTGTGTGTGTGTGTGTGTGTGTGTGTGTGTGTGTAAGAGAGAGAGCGAGAAGGAGCTAGAGACTGTTGTGCATTTGTGTCTCTACTTTACACTCTGTCACAGCTCGCCTGCCAGTGGCTCACAGAGTGTGTATATGTATATTCCTGTGTGCCTTTCCACTTGAGAGATGGAAAGTGTGCCTGAAGTCTGTTTATATTTACTCTCTGCTATCGGATGTGACCACTCACTCTTTCTCTTACACCTTTTGCTTTCTCCTCTTTCTTTCTGCTGCCCCCCCCCCCCCCCCCCCCCCCTTTTTTTTCCCCCCTCCTTCACAATGTCTAATCCCGGCTCACTCAAAACCTGACACTTTGTTGTCTCTCTCTACCTCTACCCTCTCTTCTTTTTCCCGCCTTCACCACCTTACCCCCACCCACCCACCTACCCCCACCCCCATCCTCCCTCCTGCAGGTTGTAAAATGGATTCTCCTCAGTCAGAGTCATCAGGGGAAGGGCAGAAAGCGGAAGAGAACAGAGCCCAAGGTGAACTACAAAGAGGTAGGAAGCACTCTCCAGTATTAAGACCTCTATCTACCTTCCCGCTGCTCTACTTTAACTCTTGGGAGTCTACCTTTCTCTTTTGGAAACCTCTGTCCCTATCTATTTGGATTTTTCCTCCTCTGATTTAGCTGCCACTCATGAGCTGCAAAACATTTTTGTTTGTCTGACGACAGTTATCCCCCAATTCTTTTTCCGTGATGTGTCTGCGAGGACAGCCTACCCTGTACTTGTTTAAGTCTGTGTTTACCATAAGTTCTGTCACACACATACTTAACCTTTTAAGAGCTTGTGTACATCACATACCCTCCAATGTTCCTGTGTGGTCATGGCCAATGTGTGTGTGTGGGACGGCGTCTGTGTTTGCGTGGAGGGGGCAGGGACCATTTAGCCTCGACGTTCTGGGTTTGAATTTGGCCTTGAACCTTTGTTGCATCCCTCTTCCTCTACCTCTTTCTCTTCTTGTCATTTCAAACCGTTTCCTGCCAAATAAAATATCCCAAAAAGATGGTTTTGCCTGTGTGTGTAGTGCTAATTAGTTCTCTCAAGGGATGGCTAATCCCCTCCACCCACTAATTGACACACACACTTGCACACACGCCTGCATCATTAATGAACGCACACTGATCTATAAGCCACTGAGGGGCCAGAAGTCATTAGCTAGCAGCAGAGCAGCTTATATATATCACTCTCAATATGCTCAGATATTGCATGCTGTTGGAAACATTTGCAAAATGTCCAATTTTTTAGTAGATTACATTTTACGGCATGAATAAGTAAGGTAAGTGTCCCTGGGTACATTCGAATCATAGAAATCATTGCCTGGAAGATATATCCACTGACTTTTAGGGCTTTAAATTTCCCCTCGACACTCAGTTGGTACCACAGCTTTCAACAGATGTAATGTAAGCTTTATTCATAAGCAAAGGTGTACAGGCTCTACCTGAATTCCAGAGAGTATTTCATAAAACCGTGGAACATGATTTTTCTGGATTAGATTACCTCCAATTACTGTGCTGTAATTTGGAGCGCAAAGTGAATGAAATGCCTGTAGAGTCCGCAGCCAGTGCAGCCCCCCTTCAACCACCTGATACCTACCGTCTGGCATATTTACAACGTACACACTCATACACACAAATACACTTACTTTTGACTTAAGGGGCAGCACAGGGGCCACTTCCTGTGGAGGGGGGGGGGGGGGGAGCAGAGAGTGCTGAAATCAGCCTCATGAAAGAATGGCCAATTACTGTCCGCTTGGTCATACACAATAGTGAGAAAGAGGAGGGAGGGACAAATGGACGGAGGGATGAAGTGAGGTAGGGGTGGGGGGGGGGGCTGGGAGGTCAGTGTTTGAAGTTACACCATAAAAGCCATCCTGAAAGGAAACACAAAGTGACCCCCCCCCCCCCCCCCCCTCCCTTTCCATCTACCCCTCTCCCCCTGCGGCCCAACCCTCTCCTCTACGTCTCCCTCCCTCCCTTCCCTTTGTTTCTGCGTACAGAGAGTGCCCCATGGATGGACCAGGTGTATTTTATATTACTCCTTCATGTACTTCAAACGACCAACCAGCCCAATTTCTACTCAACCCCTCTTTTCATCTAACTCTCCTCCCTCTCTCTGCCCTGCGTCTACCAGCCTGTTGCAAGGCTATAAATCACGCAGCAGACCCGATCGGCAAAGGAGGAGAGACAAATGGGGGGGGGGGGTAGAACACAGGAGACAGGAAGGCGGGGAAGATAAAGTTTGAAAGAATCAGAGATGAAGATACAAGTGGAGCATAGAGCAACGAGAGTGGAATATGAAAAACAACACTCGACGCCACCGCTGGACTTTATGCATCCCCTGTGGTTATCTTTTAGATCCATTCAAATTGGAATGGAAACATGGATTCAAGCCACAAAATTAGGCAGTTGGGTTGAAAAATACAAATTGAAAGGTAATATTAGAGGATTTGAGAATAAATAGGTGATGGAATGATTGTATTGAAGGAGAGAGAGAGGATGAAGAAAAGTAGAGCGAAGCCGAGTGCAGAGGATTGGAGCGAGAGCGAAACTGGTGTGTTAGAAGTTGATGATTATGAATTCCAGTAGGGTAATGAATCTGTTGCGGGAATTTGAGGAATTGAACAGCAGAGTGGATATTTGAGGACATTTGAGACGCACGTGAGAGATGAAATATTACTGGACTGGTCAGATGATGAGAAGCGTGGTTAGGAAGAGAGATGGCGAAGGAGGGAGTAGAGGAGGTAGGACTTTTAGTGGGCAGGAATTAGGCTGAGCCGGAGTTGCATTAAGCGCTAATGACATCATAGATGATTAGGGAAAACACACACACACACACACACACACACACACAGACAGACTCACAAACCTATAGATGCACCCAGAGGAAAGAGCCAGACACCTCCCACAGAGCAGCCCGAGATCTGGTCAGTTTAATAGAGCCAAAGTTTATTACCAACTTCCTGCCATCTTTTTTTCTGTGGTATGTTACTGATACACATGCACCTTAGTGCGCACGTCTGACTCGTCTGACCTTTTTTTGTGTACACGTGTAACTTGCGTGTGTGCATGTGATGAGCGTGCGTGTGTCCAGTGTGTGTGGAGAGGTCTGTACAGGGATATTAGTCACGGCCGCATGGTAATGGGCCTCATTTTGCTCTCATTTTCATCTGCGGTCTCCGTAATGAGAGGGTCCGTCTGCCCCTGCTGATCAGGACAGGAAACCCTGTAGGGTAAAAGAGCTGTGAATAGCAGGAGACTTTGACCAACTTTTTTGGCTCTTTGAAGATGCTTTTTGTAAGTTATAATTATCTGGGTTTTCCTCAACTGGACTCCACGGTAAATTGCCTCAAAAGATGATCAATAGCTATCAAAACATACCTAAACGTTTCCTTAAACCTCAGCCGTATAGTATTTTCAATAAATCTCTGGGTTCATGGAACATCTAGCCTGCAGGACGGGCTTAATTGTTGACACATGCAGCAATTCTGTAATGACTATTATTTTAACCCCTGATACAACATCAGGGGTTCATACTCCAAGCAGAGCATGAAAATGGATCATTCATATAATATCATATATGAATAATATGATCCATTTATAGAAAAGTATTCATGTCGGTGATGGCAGTAATGATGCAGTTATAAAACATATTATAGAGGTGTTATTATGGGCATGTACAACTGATCCTATAATAAGAAGACGGGGGATATTTGAACTAGTGGAAAGTTCTTAATATCACTAAAGTTGATGGCCTTCATACTTAAGCTTAGTGTAGTTCTTTGACTACAATATATTTGATGCAGTATGACACATCTCAGCGCCTTTAGTGCAGATGCGATAAGGTTCTGTATATAGAAAGTGTTTACATAGCCCTTCCCCAGGATAAACAAATCCGGGAAATGGTGTAATCCTGAATTCTTGTCATTCCTGCAGAAATCGTTCTGCACCACGCTATTTTTAACTTGCCTCCCTGAATCTAAGGCTGCACAATTAATATGTCCACCAAACTTATTTTGGTTCATATGAGATTATAATTATGAATCTCCAAAAGTATGATATGCACCATATTATTTCTTCTGGTGTCTTGATTGTTTAAACCACCTCTAATAATTTCAATTATTGTAATATTCATTTTACAGGCTAAAATAACATGATTACAAACACTTAATCTCTGTACATGCTCCGAACTTAATGTATGTGAGAGCAGGGACATCTTTCTGTGTGCCACGGTAACTTCACAGACGCAGCAGAATAGGTGGATGATGAGTCAGCCTCCATCTCAGTGACACTCTGTCACCTCATTTGCACCCATATGGCAGTCTGCACCTTCCTGGTCGATGGGTTACTGTGAGAACATGTACCACGTTTATGTTTGTGGCTGAGGAGATGTCAACAACAACAACAGGTTTAGAGGAACAGCCTGTCTTCAAACTGCTCCTCAAACGTTATTATACTGCACATATCATGTCATGCTGAAGGGCAATTTTAAGCATTTCACAAAGACATTTTGAGATCGAGCTGTTACATTTTTAAATGCTTAAAAGATCGACATGCAGCACCTGTTGTTTCCGAGGTTGAGAGTGGAACACTCGGATTGGAACACTTTCTGGCCTTTTAAGAAGTGGTACAATCAACTATTAACAACTCAGTCTGATGATTTCACTCAAGAGGTATCCCAATCTCCAGTTAAAACAGTTTATTACCGACATGTTGGCGGTGGCTAGCTTATTATTATTTTCTCAAGTATTGCTCGAGACATTTTACGCCTTTATTATGAGCCAGAGAGATGACACAAAATTAGGGGAGAGACCGATGAGGAAGAACATGAAATAGGGGTCGTGAACACTAGCTGAAGGCATCAGAGTTAAAATAACACCGGATTATGCTCCTATAACAAACAGACACCAAGTTCTACTTTAGGAGATAATGTAAACCCACGGAGAAAGGAACCGTGTTCGAGTGGCGACTGAAATCCCTTGTGTTGTGCTGAGGTGTGAGGTTGATGGCTGGACAGGGGGCGTACTAGTGGTAACTGAGTCCCTGTGGGAGGGTAAACGGCAAAGAGGGCATGATCAAAAAGCCTCTTCAGTCGGGTGGTGTCTGCAGGTGGCGTACAGTACATCACCATAATAGGCTTAAGTAGAGGATGGAGAAAAAGACAAGAGAGCAATGAGGAAATTGTTTCAGTCTCTGCCGATTTGTGAGAAGAACAGATTAAATTGAATCCTCGTCCATGATTTGACAGCAAAGTCAAAATGTGCCGTGTGTGCGTAAGTGTAATAAATTAGTGGCTATAATAAGAACGTTTGAGTAACAAATTACCGAACAGTCTGTCTTTTCTCTTGCAATCTACCTCTTCCTTTCTTAGAGTTTGACCCGTACCCATGAAATAAAGCATATCCGTATCATAATGGTGTTTTTATGGCATCTGTTTTGTTGTTTCCTCCAATAAGACGTCATCAAAGAACACTCTGCCGTATTTGGCAATGTTAACTC